CCAAATAGGTCATAACTGATCTCGGGCCCAAGGCCCAGTAAAACCCTAATTCATACTAATTTACTTGCATTATTTATACGAGACTAATACTCCCACAAACACTAACTTTAGCATCGGAGTCTCTTTTGCAGGTACCACCCCCATCTTGGAGCATCAAGCGTACCAGCGAAGGAGGCTCACCGATCTTACCTGGCGGATCAGCTCTACAGCAAATTTCCGGTAAGAACAGTTATAAATATTATTTAGAGTAATATATTAATCATAATATTTATTATAAATAAATACAAATACCATTGTTTTAAAAAAAAAAATAAAGAGAAAACTGCTAAGAACTATATAAGATTGTATGAAGATGAGAAAACAGCATGAAGAAGAGATAGGCCTGAACCTGGTAAGCAGATTCACTGAGAAAAACTGTGGCAATACAATTTTAAAAGTTGAGTTGTTGCCTTCAAAATCATTACATCTGGGTTGCCACTAACATGCAGCAGCGTTCAAACAAACAATGAAAAGCTGCAAAATATTAAACCAGATTTTGTAATTTACTGCATCAGGGTAAAGTACATAGCAGCGGGAAACCAGATTTGTTTAAGTTACACAGAAGTTGCAAACATGAATACAGGCTGTATAGTTTATCTTTCGCTATTTTTTTTATAAATATTTTTGTGACATTATTTTGCAGCATTTGACTTAAGACTCTTTTTACTATACTATGCAGTCTTTTGGCAGTCAAAACAAACTTTTTCTAATTAAGTGCACGATTGGATTAAAGTCAGTTGTCAACAAGTTTGAATGAATTTCATTTTGCATGCTGAATTTCCAAAAGCAATCATCAAATTGCTTTCGATCATCACAAAATATATATAAGTATGCTAATATACTTTTTAAAACTAAATTTCAACATCTAATTGTTAAATTAAATTTTTTTAACTCATAAATTAAATTTATTAAATTTTAAAATATTAAAAATTATTTGATATTCTGTTATATTAATTTAAATTAATAGATAATCATAAAAATATTTTATATATTAATTTTAATTAATAAAATAAAATATTAAATTTTATATAAAACTTTGCAAATTCACAAAAACATATATAAAAACTATATATGTCGGATATATGAAACAGGGAAAAAATGAATGCCTATTATGACTTCTTCATTTCTTTTCTATTTTCTATATGTTCAACATAATATGACTTACTCAATGATTTATATTTTATATATCCTATAGTCAAATATATACATTAAACATTTTTTGATTTGACCTTAAGAGTATATTTGGTTTGTTTGGAATAATAAGCTTAAGTTTAGAATTAGTCAAACTTGATTATCGCTTTGATGAACATGTTTGACACTTTTATCTTAACGTGATTCAATCGAGAAATGAGTCACCTGTGATGCTGTTGAAAGTAATTTTTGGACGAAATGAGTCATACACATCCTTCAAAGTATATAAGAATACTAAAACCCATTTTGATAATTATACACCCAAATCAATTTTGATTGCAAATGGTCGAACAACTTTGTGCGACAAAATTAATATTTTAATATGTGTTATCCAAATAAAAATCGCATTGTAGCAAACTCACATTTCCTTAAAATCAAGTATGTAAATTATCACGTTTATTTACAATTATTTTTTATAAATATTATTGGGGTTATTTTGTGGTATGTGTCTGAGATATTTTATGAGTATTACTTTTATAAGGTTATTACACAAACATACTTCACAATGATGAGATATTGTCCGTTTTGAGGCTTAGTCTTCACGGTTTTACTTTTGGTCATCACCTAAAAGGTCTCTCAATCATTGAAGTATGTTTATGTTATATAAGTTGTTATTTCTTATTTTATTTTATGGGACTTGTTTGTATCTTAATAATCTTCAAGGGACCTAATCTTGCATGCAGCGGAACTCTGATGCCACTGATGGAGGTTATGTTATGGTATTTGTCTGAAGAGATATTTTATGAGTATTATTTTTATAAGGTTATTACACAAACATACTTCACAATGATGAGATATTGTCCGCTTTGGGCCTTAGCCCTCAAGATTTTACTTTTAGTTATCACCTAAAAAGCCTCTCAATCATTGAAGTATGTTTATATTATATAAGTTGTTATTTCTTATTTTATTTTATCGATATGAACTTGTTTGTATCCCAATAAATACTTATCAGACACTAATTATATATGTAGGCTTAGTTATAATTTTGTGTCAAATGTTAAAAAAAAATAGAAATCATTTTCAAGAAAATTTCGTGCCTATTTGAAAATGGACCAAAGACATGTATTTCACATCAAAATAAACGCTACTGATCTACTACTAGTTCTAATTTTTATGTTTTTCGCAACAAAAAGGTGATTTGCTGATTAGATAAAGTATTTTCAAAAACACTCTTCAAAATCAAGTCTAGCATATTTTTTTAAGTTGGAACAATCGAATAAAACTGATGATCTTAATCAAATTAATTATATTGGTTTAGTTTTTTTTCTTATGAAATTTATTTTAAATCAATTAAATTTAACTTTAATTAATTTATATCACAAATTTTTGTTTTACAAAATTGATAAATTTTCAATAATAAAATCAATTAAAAATATTAGTATTATTATATTATGTTAATATTATTTTATAATATTATAATTTTATTGAGTTATTAAAATTGACTTAATAGTGAGAATTGAAATAATACACAACATCTTAAATTTGAATCCAAATATTATCATTATAATTTTGATAAATAAAAAAATATACTATCATACTACTGTGACACTTGAATAATACTATTCTTTTATGATATTATTAATTAATAATATTAATATTTATAATATTATTATTTTACTAGTTACGCTGCACTCACTTATTGGTAATTATGCAATTCATACCTAGATGCATGCCCTCTAGCATTCGACTTAAAAATTTCTAACATTTATTTTCACTTAACATATTATTTTCATATTGACAAACTGAAAAAATAAAATGCATGCATGAAGAGTACTTCTTGAATAATAATTGCATGTTTGAGAAATTATCTTAGTTTTAAATATTATAATACTTTAATTTCAAATATTAGTTTATGTTTAAATACTTTAATTTCATATAATTCTTAAAAATTGATTAAATTAAACCAAATTAATTCATCATTAATTGATTAGTTTAATTCGAACTGTATTTTTTTTAGTATATTTTATCTAAACAAAATTAATTAAAATTATTTGATTCAAACTAATTTACTCTAAATTGAAACTATAAATCAATCCATAAACACCCTTCCAAACGTCTTTAGGTCCTCTCAGTGCATAATCAAACACATACTAAAAATTGGTGTCATATGGGTTTATTAGTTTACTTATTTGCATTTAATAAACACCCTTCCAAAAGCCTTTGTTTATTTGCCATAGACTTTTTCTAATGGTATAACTTCACTTACATAATAATCTAAATTAACTTACAAACTTATTTAAGGACATATTTCATAATAATTAAACACTAACATAAACGTAAAAATAAATGTTAAATTTTATAAAAAAAAATTGAAAAATCTAAATTATTTATATAAAAGTATTTTTAAGGTCTAATATAACATTTATGATAATAACTTATTTAAAAATATATTTTATAATAAGATTAATTAATGAGACATAATTCTAATTTTTAAATAAATTTATAAGTTTTACTTTTTTTTATGTAAATTAATAT